CACTACACCACACTGGCCACCCCGGAGCCTCAATGCAGAGCGACCTATAGCGTGAGCTCTTATGCGGCCTTCCCTCACCTGAACACCAGGTGCCCGTCCTTCAGCCCGAGGCTGATGAAGTCCGTCGCTTTGGCGCGCTCACCGTCCTCCTGTGACAGAAACCAGAGCGTTGTTTCTCACCTTCTCCTTTCCTTAGGAGATGGCACCCCTAGGCATCAGTGGGGTTGCTCTCGTCTGGGGGTCTATCCCATAGAGGGAGAGAACCCCCATAGTGGGGGTCATGCCATAGAGGGAGAGAAGCCCATGAACTGCTAAGGAACTGGTACTGCTTCTCAGGTGCCACATTTTACTTTGTAAGAAATCCTGTCTTTGAGTGTGGCAGCACCGACACTTTGCAACCCCCTACCTACTGACATCAGTTGGGTGCCTTCACTGTACTCTATTTGGCGCCTGCTAAAAACATTTTTTTAAAAGGCAATTGCTTATCCAGACGTGTGAAAATGTTGACAGGTGTTTTTAGCTTATGATTGATTTTAGTTAGGCTTAATAAGAGCCATTCAACAGTGGAACAGTCCCTTGGTAGGTGGCGGACTCTCCTTCATCAGAGGTTTTTAAACTGATGTTGGATGGCCATCTTTTGGGGATTCCTGAGCTGTGATTCCTGTCTTGTAGGGGGTCAGGCTGGATGACCCTTTGGGATCCTTTACAACTCTACAATTCGATGATGATAAGTCTCTGCACTGCATATTGAGGGGGTCTTATAATCACAGAACTGTTAAGTATAATCACAGAACTGTGAAGTAGGAAGGGACCCCGAGAATCATCTAATTCAAACCCCCCCCCCAGCAATGCAGGAATCTGGACCACCTCCTGCTGGGACAGAATGCTCTCACCCCCATGGGGGCCAGTCTCTTGCCTACTACTACTACTACTACTACTACTAATTTATTTATACCTTGCCCATCTGGCTGGGTTTCCCCAGCCACTCTGGGCGGCTCCCAACAAATTATTAAAAACACAATAAAACATCAAACATTAAAAACTTCCCTAAACAGGGCTGCCTTCAGATGTCTTATAAAATACCAGGCTTACCAGGTTGGGATAGCTGGGATAGCAGGCTTGTTGGGTTTTGAATGTCTTATGTAGATTTTTCAATTTCGTTGTTCTGTATGGGACAGTGACAACAAAGATTATCGTATCATATCGTAATAAGTGCCTTCAGCTTGATCTGACCAGTGGCCCATCGAATCCAGCGTCCTGTGCTTGCGGGAGGGTTGGAAGCAGGGCACGAGTGCAACTCTACAGTTGCTGTTCGCCATCACCCGGTATTCAGAGGTAGACTGCTCCTGGGCAAGGAGGTTCTGCTATTACAACGGGTGTCCCTAAGGAGAGCCCTCCTGGATTGAATCATAGAATAGAATCATAGAATCATAGAGTTGGAAGAGACCACAAGGGCCATCGAGTCCAACCCCCTTCCAAGCAGGAAACACCATCAGAGCACTCCTGACATATGGTTGTCAAGCCTCTGCTTAAAGACCTCCAAAGAAGGAGACTCCACCACACTCCTTGCCAGCAAATTCCACTGTCAAACAGCTCTTACTGTCAGGAAGTTCTTCCTAATGTTTAGGTGGAATCTTCTTTCTTGTAGTTTGGATCCATTGCTCCGTGTCCGCTTCTCTGGAGCAGCAGAAAACAACCTTTCTCCCTCCTCTATGTGACATCCTTTTATATATTTGAACATGGCTATCATATCACCCCTTAACCTCCTCTTCTCCAGGCTAAACATGCCCAGCTCCCTTAGCCGTTCCTCATAAGGCATCGTTTCCAGGCCTTTGACCATTTTGGTTGCCCTCCTCTGGACACGGTCCAGTTTGTCAGTGTCCTTCTTGAACTGTGGTGCCCAGAACTGGACACAGTACTCCAGGTGAGGTCTGACCAGAGCAGAATACAGTGGCACTATTACTTCCCTTGATCTAGATGCTATACTCCTATTGATGCAGCCCAGAATTGCATTGGCTTTTTTAGCTGCCGCGTCACACCGTTGGCTCATGTCAAGTTTGTGGTCAACCAAGACTCCTAGATCCTTTTCACATGTACTGCTCTCAAGCCAGGTGTCACCCATCTTGTATTTGTGCCTCTCATTTTTTTGCCCAAGTGCAATACTTTACATTTCTCCCTGTTAAAATTCATCTTGTTTGTTTTGGCCCAGTTCTCTAATCTGTCAAGGTCGTTTTGAAGTGTGATCCTGTCCTCTGGGGTGTTAGCCACCCCTCCCGGTTTGGTGTCATCTGCAAATTTGATCAGGATGCCCTTGAGTCCATCATCCAAGTCGTTGATAAAGATGTTGAATAAGACCGGGCCCAAGACAGAACCCTGTGGCACCCCACTAGTCACTCTTCTCCAGGATGAAGAGGAACCATTGATGAGCACCCTTTGGGTTCGGTCCGTCAGCCAGTTACAAATCCACTGAATGGTAGCATAGTCAAGACCGCATTTTACCAGCTTCTTTACAAGAATATCATGGGGCACCTTGTCAAATGCCTTGCTGAAATCAAGGTAGGCTACATCCACTGCGTTCCCTTCATCTACCAGGCTTGTAATTCTGTCAAAAATGAGATCAGGTTAGTCTGACATGACTTATTTTTCAGAAATCCATGCTGACTATTGGTGATCACAGCATTCCTTTCTAGGTGCTCACAGACTGTTTGCTTAATGATCTGCTCCAGAATCTTCCCTGGTATTGATGTCAGACTGACTGGGCGGTAATTATTTGGGTCCTCTCTTTTCCCTTTTTTGAAAATAGGGACATTTGCCCTCCTCCAGTCTGCCGGGACTTCGCCTGTTCTCCAGGAATTCTCAGAGATGACTGCCAGTGGTTCTGAGATCACATCTGCCAGTTCTTTTAATACTCTTGGATGCAGTTCATCTGGCCCTGGAGACTTGAATACATCTAAACTAGCCAAGTATTCTTGTACTATCTCCTTAGTTATTCTGGGCTGTGTTTCCTCTGCTGAATCATTTGCTCCAAATTCTTCAGGTCGGGCATTGTTTTCTTTATCGGAGAAGACTGAGGCAAAGAAGGCATTGAGAAGTTCAGCCCTTTCTGTGTCCCCTGTTTGCATTTCACCATCTTCTCCTCTGAGTGACCCCACTGTTTCTTTGTTCTTCCTTTTGCTACGAACATACCCATAAAAGCCTTTTTTGTTGCTTTTAACCTCTCTAGAGGTCTCCCTGATAGATGCTTCTTTCTCATCCTGTCCAAACACCCCCTCCCCCAATAATCTTGCATCGTCTTCCCCAACCAGATGTTTTGAATGACATAACATGCTGGCTGGGGCTGATGGGAGCCAGAGACCAAAACATCTGGGAGGCACCAGGTTGCGACTCTTAGCAAGATGAAAAAACTGGCAGTTATTTGTATGACATTTACATCCCACCTTTCCACCCAAGGAGTTCAAGGTGGTGTACATGGTTCTGTGCCCTCCCTGTTTTATCTTCAAAACAACCCTGCAAGGTTGGCCAGGCTGAGACACCCTGATTGGCTCAAAGACCACCCTCACACCATGCATTCAAAGCGCTATGGTGCCACTTTAAACAGTATTGGCTGCTCCCAAAGAATCCCTGCAACCTGTTAAGTTAAGGGAGCTGAGAATTGTTAGAAGCCCCTCTCTCCGCCCCCGCCCCCCGGAAATAACAGCCAATCCTTCTTCTCAAGGAATTCTGGGTGGGGAAGACCATAATGGCTCCTTAATGGTATGCCATAAAAAAAAGCTTTGGGCCTCCTCTGGTCTAGTCCCAAGAACAAAAGGTAGAAGATCTGGCCTTCTGTGACAGTTGGCTAGACCATCTCTAGCGCTGGAGTTTGTAATGCTGGGCTGCCTGCCTGCTTTCTCCTTGCCCTCTTAATTTGTGAATAGATATCAGCTGATAACGTGGGGTGGGGGACCTTTCCCTTCTGTAAACAGCTGGATTCCATGGGGGTGTCGTATGCAGTGCCAAAGCCAGCTGCTGCTATGGGCTGCTGGGGCCACTTTTACAGAGGGCAAATGGGACCCTGCCCCACCACCCCAGCCTGCCCTCGCTTAGCCTCCACTTCCTTTTATTACTTGCAGCCTGTGGGGAGTTGCCAGTCAGCTTCCTCCTCCTCAGTCTTTGGACTCGTCCGCCCTTGCCCCAGGCCTGGCAAGCAAGAGCCCAAGCCGTTTCCCACTTGCCTCGTGCTCTCTAGGCATGGCCCTGCCGCTTCCCCCCACAAAACCTGCTGTTTTGTGCTTAATCGGAAAAAATGTCAAACTGGAGAAAACGCAACAACACTTGCTCCAGTTCAGCAGTGGGCATTGTCCTTCGAGGATGGGCTGGACATTGTAACTGCCAACTCCAGGTTCTGTGCATCAATCATTCTAGGCTGAGAGGCAGCACTTGCTAGCACAGGGTCTGATCCTGAAATACTTTTTAGCTTGGCACCAATAAGAACTTGCTTCTCTCCAAGGCCTAGAAGGGCTTGTGCAAGAGGGCCCTTCAGAGCAGATTTGGGGGTGCACGGGGGGGGGGGGAGAGGAAGAGGGAGTCCCCCTGCGCCAGCAGAGCTGCATGTGTGGAGTATTGGACAGACATTCTGAATGACAACTCTCATGAGGGCTGATGGAGCTGGGACTGGACCAAGTTGGCTGTACTGGGGGTGGGGAGGAGAGAGGATTTCATAATCAGAGAGTTGCATTTCCAAAAAGACCTGAGCTGCACCATCTCTTTGCACCCCTGGCAGGAGACTGGCTAGCCTTTTCCCCATGCCAAGCTGCCTCAGGACGGGGGTCGGGAGAAGCTGCAGCCTTCCAGATGGACCCCTCTGTCCCGCCGCCCTGACCCACTGGCTGTGCCAGCTGAGTCTGAGGGGGGTTGTCGCCCTGTAGCACCAGGAGGACACTGGGCTGGGGAAGGCGGGATAAGAAACAAGCAAACCTCTGCATTGTTCTTCAATAAACCAAGTGAAGCAGCAGTAGCAATTCTCCATGGTCACAAAGAGGACACTTACAGCTTGACTCCTTTATTTAACTCCTGGTTTACAAAGAGATCAGAGCACAGCCCCGTGCAAGGGGAGCAACCAGGCAGAAGAGAGTCAAAGAGCCAGACTGCCGATAAACCACCAGCTTAAGAAGAAGCAGACTTTGCCCAGTCCGGCCTAAATGGAGCACCTCGCCCTCTCCGCAAACCACAGCAGCAAAGCCCAGAGTGCTTCCTCTTGGGAGAGGAGTCAACTGGCCTAAAATCCATCCCAGAGAGGAATCCAGTTTCTTTGGAGGAGCTTTGGAGCGGTGTGTGTGTCTCTTGAGCGTGCATGGGTGCCTTTCCTGCCCTAGCTGAGCCCTGCTTCACTGCCGCTGTCCTCATCGAGCTGAGTGGAGTTCCTTTCCATGTCCCCTTTCTCCACAAAGTTGAGGATGCGCCGGTTGGCTTGGATCAGGTACTGCTGCTGGCGAAAGTAGACCTTCAGGGCTCCCTTCAGGGCCACAAAAGCAATGCCCCCCTGGCAGGGAAACAGAGAAAAGGAGGGGTAGGTGAAGTTAAGAGCCTCAAACCACCTCTTTTGCCTTCTGAGCATTGGAGAGGCAGGTCCATGTGAACCACCACCCGGTATGGGAGGGAGGAGAGAGCAGTTCCCTCAAGCCCCTTCCTGAGAGGAGTCTGATTGACAGAGGGAAGCAGCCAGATCATCATTATCTGCTCCAGTCCAGGATTTCCTTTTCCTTTAGAACATTTAGACACGGCTCTTCGGCCAGAAGCAATCAGTTAAAACAAAACAGCCCTTTCCCCACAGGCTTACAATCTAAAAGGCACAGCACAAAAGAAAAAAGGGCCAGGGAGGGAAGAAGAAAAAAGAAAACATGGGGGCCAATTCTTAAAGTAAAATTGTGGTTCTTATAATGACCAGCTTGAATGGAAACAGTTCCGAGGTGGAAGGTGCCAGGTGCATCTGGTCTTCCATGCTGAGAGGGTGCAATGAGCCCCCTTGCCCATCTCTGCCACGGAGGCAGCCTACCAGGTGAGAGCCTAGGATCGAGCACTTTCAGTGGCGCTGTAGGAAGGAGCCCTCTCTCCCACTGAGGCAGCAGAGGGGACTGGCCTTCTGTAACAGCCAACATGGTGCCCTCCCAGTGCTGTGAGACTCCAGCTCCCCCCAGCCCCCAGCCCCATGGCCAGTGGTTGGGGATGATAGGAGCCGGTGTCTCTCCAAAAATACCTGGGGGGCGCAAGTTGGTGACTCCTGGCTTAAGACAAAAGGGATCTACAGGCTTCCTCCAGGTTCTGCAGTATGGAGGCCTCCCCCTGCCCCCTCAGACTGAAAACAACTGCGCTAACATATGTTTTCAAGCCACCTAAAAAAAGAGGGAAGACCTAAATGATGGAGAGGCAAGATATAAATCCAGAAAGAAAAGTGGAAATGTGGAGCTCCTTCTATCGAGTCAGACCATTATTGTTACTTATTAAATTTATATACCACCCTCCATCCGAAGATCACAGTATAAAAACACATGGATAACATAATAATAAACAAAGCAATAACCCCCCACAGTTTAAAACGCTGTATATCGTTCAATTGGCCAAAGGCCTGGGAGAAGAGGCATGTTCTTGCCTGGTGCCTAAAGATATGCAGTGAAAGTGCCAGGCAAGCCTCCTTGGCCAGAGCATCCCACAAACAGGTCCATCGGTCCATATGGCCCAGCACCTTGGCGGCTGCATGCCTTCCTGATGGACTGAACTGCAACTTTCACCAGCCTCAACCAGCACAGCCATATGGCGCCAGGCTGGTGGGAGTTGTAGTCCAAAACTTCTGGAGGGCACCAGGTTGGAGAAGCTGAGTCTAATCCAATGGGCATCATCTCCAACAAAGGTCCTTCCCAGCCTGGCTGTTTGAGATCCTTTTACCCAGAGGTGCCAGTGCACCAAACCTTCTGCATATGAACTATGTGCTGTGCCAGCTAACCCGAGGGCTGTCCCAGCCTTGCCACCATGGCTAGCAGCATTAGGGTGCTGTGGCAGGGATGCTACGTCGAACCAAGAATGGGAGTGATTCCTTCAAATACTTGAATTCTGACCCAAGTATTGCACCCAGTTGACTCCAGAGTTCCTTCCCCAGTCTCTCCACTCACCAGGATGGTACGCTGGAGGCTGGAGTTCACCCTGCGGAAGGTGACTCTGCCAACTAGGTTGGCAATGGTGGGGAAGACCAGGGCCCCGCACAGCGTGCGCGAGATGGAGAGGTGGTCACTCTGGTAGCGCGACTCGGCGAGAGGGATGTGCGGAACAGGGCGGCTGATCCCTGAGGATGCAAGAGAGATTAGGAAAAACATGGTGAGAGCTAAAAATCTGTTTAATAAAAATAAGAACAGCTGCAGAATAAAAAAATGCAAACATGAATATTTGGCATGATTTGGACAGACAGCAAACTTTGCTTGGTGCAAATTTGTTGCTGTTGTTGATTACTATTATTCTGCACAATGGAGGAACATGCCTTGCCTCTGCCCTTCCTTCCACTGCACATGGATTAGAGGGATCAGTTCATGCTGCAGCTCATGGCAATTGCAGTTACTTGTTGTGTGTGCTGCTGTTGCCAAGCAGAATAGTCCATAACTCCAGATGCCATTCAACTCCCACTGGCAAAGCTATGTATACAGGTAGGCTCTTGGCTTACAAAAAGGACAAGGAATGGGGGATCTGCTTTTTTGTCCTGCTGCCCAGTAACTAGTCTGGAAGCAGGATGGCTGTGAGAAATCCATATTCTTGTGAATTCCATGAATAGTTCAGCTTTGTCCAACCTGGTGCCCTCCCACTGCTTCTGACTACAATTCCCACCAGCTGGCTGAGGCCAATGGGAATTGTAGTCAAAAACAGTGGGAGGGCAGCGGCACCAAGTTGGACAAAGCTGTCCTAGGGTGCTGCCAATTGCCACTGTTTTGTAGGAGGGATTCATCCGCATACCATAAATTGTGGTTGGCCCACCTTTCCTTCCAAATGCAGAGTCCAGGGGAAGCCTGCCTCATGCTGGTCTCCCGGCCCATCAACTTCAGGCCAATGCCCAGGCCAGGAGGACTGAGCGGAGGGTGGCACTCACCTGGCACCAAGGCCTGCAGGGCTTGGATCTTGCTGGAGTATTTCCGCCACACCCGCAGCACGTAGTCTTCCCAGCGGATCATCTTGCCCAGCACCAGCATGACAGGGATGGTGGGGAGCCCCATGAGCAAGAAAAGGGGGTCTGCCCGCTCCATCACATCCAGGCCCTTTTTATGACCAACAACCTGCCAAAGGAGAAGAGACTGATCAGCAATGCAGTGGGGCAAGCCGGGTGGCTTCTGCCTTCATCAGCGAGGAGAATAAAACTCCATTCACATAACCCAAATGGTCAGATTCTTACTGGATAGCTTCAGATTCCTACCACAGCACCGTCTGAAGTACTATGATACCACATTAAACAGTCATTGCTTCCCCCAAAGAATTCTGGAAGTTTTAGTTTGTTAAGGGTGCTGAGAGTTGTTAGGACACACGCGCGCGCACACACACACACACACACACACACACACTTTCTCTCACAGAGCTCCAAAGTGGACAGAGTTACATGTGAAGAGGAACTGACTGTTTAACCATGCTAGGAATGGTAGCTCTGGGAACAGGGGTCTCCCAACAACTCTTAACAACTGACAGTTCCCAGAATTCTTTGCAGGAAACCATGATTGTTTAAGGTGGTATCATAGTGTGAATGCACCCCCCTTTTTATCCCACTGATTAATCAGTCATAACCTTTGTCAATTCTGATTAAACCGTGCAGCCTCATTAAGCTTTCTTGCATATGATTTTATTTCACAAATTTTCTCCACTGCTCGATTATAATAAAATTTCCAAGTGACTTTCAAAGCTACTGACTGAGCTGAAGGCCATCTGATTCATTCTTTCCCTGCACCCCTTTGCTTTACCTGCATGACAGTGACAGCCCCATACGTCACAGCCGACCAGTAGAGTGTCCCCACGACAATGCCAGCTGCAGCAAAGGGGCTCACTTTGGATAAAATTCGGTCCACTTGTTGCAAGAAATACACCAAGGGTCCTACAAAGGAAGGACAGCAGAAACTCAGTGTTGCAGGCACTCAGCTTGGGCTCTCAACAGCCACCAGGATCATGGCCTAGGCATTCAGGCCCCTTCAGAGGTGTCGCCTCCCTCAGCCACTGAGATTCCATTGAAAGAGGGGTGTGGGTGTGAAATCCCAAGTCATCTCACAAGTGAGAAGGAAAAGGGAACAGGAAGGGGTCTATCCGCTTCCTTGGTATTCTGGCCTCTTCTGCTCCTGGCTTCTCAAAGTTCCTGCCAATGAGCCCAAATGAACTGAGTAACCAACAAATGGTAAGTGATTGTTTCTTATTAATTAAAACTAGCTCATAACATATTAGACTACTTTAGGTTTCTGCTATACATTTTAAGCACTATGATACTACTTAAAACGGTCATAGGTAATGATAAAGGTAAAGGGACCCCTGACCATTAGGTCCAGTTGTGACCAACTCTGGGGTTGCGGCGCTCATCTCACTTTATTGGCCGAGGGAGCCGGCATACAAGCATGACTTAGCCGCTCCTGGCGAACCAGAGCAGCGCACGGAAATGCCGTTTACCTTCTCGTGGAGCGGTACCTATTTATCTACTTGCACTTTGACGTGCTTTCGAACTGCTAGGTTGGCAGGAGCAGGGACCGAGCAACGGGAGCTCACCCCGTTGTGGGGATTCGAACCGCCAACCTTCTGATCAGCAAGTCCTAGGCTCTGTGGTTTAACCCACAGCGCCACCTGCGTCCCTTAAACAGTCATAGCTTCCCCCAAATAATTTTGGGAGCTGAGAGTTGTCCTAATCAATCCCTCTTCATTAGGAACTCTGGGAATTGTAGCTCTGTGAGGGGAGTAAGAAACACCTAAATACTCTTGGTACCCTGAACTACAGCTCCCAGAATTCTCTGGGGAAAGCCATGACGGTTTAAAGTGGTATCATAGTGCTTTAAATGTATGCTATGGATGAGGCCTCAGTGGAGCAGACATCATCATAGAATGCCTGTCTGTGACGGGGTGTGCTCCCAATTGTTCCTTTGCAGCCATGGCTTTGCTTTCGGCACTGCTTGAATTTGGCACATCGTGTTGCTTTTGGAAAGGGCTGGATACGCCCATTAGTGATGGGGAGCTCTTGAGCGCATCAGATCCCTTCAGAAAACACTGCAACAGGGAAAGGTGCTAAATTCAAACAGGCCTGAATCTGGCACTTCTTGCAGATGTGCCTTTTGTCAGTTTACATTTCTTAGTACAGAAAGTATTGTGTGTATGATGTGTAGGGATCTTTCCTAAATAATTCAAGAGGGTTCTGGAAGTTTCTCTGTGTGAAAGAAACAAGCAGGAGGTTCATGATGTTTGGGCTATTCCTTCAGGGAAGCTGAGCACAACTGGCCTAAACTGGTTCTGTTATCTTTTCTGTCAAGGTCATGCTGACTATAATAAGAGACCAGAAGGAGTCTGGGCTTCACTTTCTCTTTCTATCTCTTTTCCTTCTGCTGTGATGTTCTGTACATAGTGTGCTTAGTGTTAAGGTTTAGTCTTATTATAAGTTATTGTAAGTTTAAGTTAAGTCTGCCGCAACTGGATTTCTTATGGACAGTGCCAATCCTGAATGTATTGGATTTGTGACCATTATGCTCACTTGCCTTCAGTAGCAGCAAAGCTCTGCTGGATGAAATGAAATTGCCTCTGGTCTATTCTTTTGGAATCCTGCAACATGTTAAAGTTTTTACTCTGCTAACCATATCTTAAAGATTCTGCTCTGGATCACTACTGAGTACAATACACGACACCATTACCTGTCCTGCAACTGATGCCACACAGTGTGGGTGTGATTTGTGCAAACCAACCAACTGGGTCCATTGGGGAAGTCTGGCAGGGGTCTCATTTGGCCGACCCATTGGCTGTTCCCCACTGCTGGTCTATGGGACCAAGCGAGCTGTTTTATTTCTTGGAAGTGTTGGGATGCAACTCAGCTTGCATTAATGCTGACCACATTTGCATGGGGAGAAAGTAGACCTCCAAGCTTCTTAAACTTTCTCACTGTCCTCTGCACCTGTGCTGGCCTTCCTTCTGAGGTTAGACTGATTCTTAGGGTTGCTGACCTAACTTCAAGCTTCCTCTCCCGCTTCCTCCTGGAGCAGAAAAGGAGAGGGGACAACCTCCTACGGTCTCTCTGCTGCAGAGATCAAGGGGCAAGGACGGCTCCTTTGGATTCACAACTAGTTAGAATAGGAGCTCTTTCCTATCCAATACGTTTCCCCTATAATTCTATACGCTTTCTCATTTTCCACATTTAGAAGTCTCACTCTGATTGCTTTACCAGCCAAGGGTGCTCATACGACAAGTATTCAGTAGTGGCCTGCTTCCAAGCTGTGTGCTAACTCTCCAAAGCAGCCCAACCTTATTAAACTATGACTCTGCTCCTGCATCTTGATCTCGTTTTGGCTTTTAATGACACTGACCATGTTATCCTCCTGGACCGGCTCCAGAGAATTTTGTGCTGCAGTGGTTTTGGTCCCGCCTCCTGGACTGAGTCCAGAGAGTGGCGTTAGGGGAATGCTTCTCAGTCCCCTGGTGGCTACGTCACAGGGCACCATCTCATCTCCAGTGCTATTTAATATCTATAGGAAGGTGCTGGGAGTGGTCATCAGGAGTTTTGGGATAAGACACCATGAGTATGCTGAGGATGCTCAGCTCAATTTCTCCATAGCATCTGAACTGGGAGAGGCCAAGCAGTCCCTGGCCTGGACACAGGGGTGAGATGGAGGAGGAAAAACATGCTGAGCTTGAATCCTGCCAAGACAAAGGTACTGTGGTTGGTTGGTTGGTTGGCTGGCACCCATGTCTGAGAATTGGGGCAGTTCCCTATCCTGGAGGGGCTGCACTTCCTCTGAAGGAGCAGGTTCACAGTCTGGGGTGCTTCTGGGTCCAACTTTGTCCCTGGAACCCAAAGTAGCCTCAGGGGCTAGTAGCACCTTTTACCAGCTGCAACAGGTATGAGAGCTTTGACTGTTCCTGGATCAGGAAGGCTCGGTCAGTCATTCATGCAGTGGTTAATTTAAGGTTGGATTGCCGCCATGCGCTCTGCGTGGGGCTTTTGTTACAGGTGCCGTAGGATGCCTGTTCCGCATTTGTAAGAAACTGATCAGTTAGTGTGGCAGCACCCATACTCTGGAACTCCCTAATAAAATTACTGAAATTGTTATTCTTATTATTTGGAGGGCACCAGGTTGGCAAAGGCCCACCAACATTGTCTGTAAGTTTCCCTTGGGCAGGTGGCTGGCTGTGGTGGGAGATCAGAGTGCTGAAGCACATGGACTTTGGATCTGATCCAGCCAAGCAGCCCTTCGCTCAGGGATGGGGAACCTGGAGCCCTCCAGTCATTGGACCCCACCTCCAACAGCTCCAGCCCACATGGGGAGCCGGGGGGGCCCTCCTGCTTCGTTAACTTTCAGCATTATTCTCTCTCTCATGCTTAAGGCTGGTCTCCAACAAATTTTGCAAATTCCTCCCCAAAAGTAACACAACATTGTTTTTTATTTTCCAGGCAATGATACTACTTAGAAGAGAAGTGGCTCGTTTTTGTGTAGTGGTGGCTTGTATTCTAGTACAATTTTAGAAAAGGTGTGTGTGTGCATTTGCGCAGGGAAGGGGAAGCCAAAGCAGAACCACACAGAGATGCTGGGACCAGGGAGACCAGGGCTCAGGAGCTGCAACCCTTAACCAGTCCTGCCGCCCTCTCTCAGCCTAACCTACCTCACAGGGTTGTTCTGAGGATAAAGTGGAGAGCTCCTTGGAGGAAAGGTGGAATATAAATGTAATGATCAAGAACATGATTTGAAGGAACCACTTCTGCTATGGGTAGGAGAGGGATCTCTAAATATTTTGCATACCCCCATCCGTAAAGAAGACTGTGTGTGCCTAAGTGCATGGCAAGGAAGTTGCCACTGACCACCACTGCACTGCTCCCTTTTTGACAGCAGCCATCGGCTGCCAGAGGAAGGGTGAGCAAAAAACCAGTCTGCCAGAGTTTTACTCATGCTCCCAGCTTGGACTTGGAAGCAGGTGAGACTTCTTTCTCCCAGGACCTGCAAGACCACCCCTACCCAGGGAGTCTGCAGAAGGGGCCTGGATGCTCACCAACCAAAGACCTTCCTTTATTAGCTCAAGACAGAGCTGTTCCACCAGGCCTTTGGTCAGGGCGCAGCCTGACTCCCTCCTCTGGCAATCTGCACAGAATTTTGTTTAATGGTTGCCATCAATTTGATTTAATTAATTTTTATAATGAAATGTTTTTAGAATGTTGGTTTATTTGAATGTTGTTAGCCGCCCTGAGCCTAGCTTCGGCTGGGTGGGGAGGGCGGGATATAAATAAAATTTATTATTATTATTATTAAGAATAATAATAATAAATTTTTATTTATACCCTGCTCTCCCCAGCTAAGACCGGGCTCAGGGCGGCTAATAACCAATAATAAAAACAAGTTGATTAAAATACAATTTAAAAAGATTAAAATAGAACATTAAACATTAGGATGCAGCCTCTTCACAGGAGGAGAAAGGAAATAGAAAGAGTGGGAGGGAATCAAACTGATTCTAAGCCAAAGGCCAGGTGGAACAACTCTGTCTTACAGGCCCTGCGGAAAGAAATCAGATCCTGCAGGGCCCTGGTCTCACAGAGCGTTCCACCAGGCCGGAGCCAGTGTTGAAAAGGCCCTGGCTCTGGTTGAGGCTAATCTAACTTCCTTAGGGCCTGGGACCTCTAGGGTGCTGCTATATATGGACCTTAAGGTCCTCCGTGGGGTATACCAGGAGAGGCGGTCCCGAAGGTACGAGGGTCCTAGGCCGTGAAGGGCTTTAAAGGTCAAAACCAGCACCTTAAATCTGACCCTGTACTCCACCGGGAGCCAGTGCAGCTGGAAAAGCACTGGGTGAATATGCTCCCATGGCAGAGACCCCGTGAGGAGCCTCGCTGCAGCATTCTGCACCCGCTGGAGTTTCTGGGACAGCTTCAAGGGCAGCCCCGCGTAGAGCAAATTACAGTAGTCAAGCCTGGAGGTGACTGTCGCATGGATCACTGTGGTCAGGTCAGGTCAGGAAAGGTAAGGGAGCAACTGCTTGATGCGGCGAAGGTGGAAAAATGTCGGCTGTTGCTGTAACCTGCGCCTATTACCCCCAAGATCCCAGGAACACAGGAAGTAGCAAGGCCAAGCTGATGGCCAAACTAAATGCCAGAATGTATGTATTTGGCAGTACAACAAGGCCTCCCATCACTGGGCTCAATAACTGGATGTGCACCTTTGGATCAGGACCCTGCTGACACTCCAGGAAGGCTGTAGGAACAGCTACACAACTGCTATGTTGCTGCCTGGCTGTTTTGTTGTTGGCATCCATCTCTCTCAAAAGAAAATGAAATGTGCTTTCAGAGGCAAAGTCAACCATTGTAGCATCACAGCACCTGCTGTGGCTGAAGACGACAAGACCCCCTCTTGGCCTTGCTGATGTGGTCCAAAGGAAAGCAGAGCAATCCATTTGGCCTCAAGGATTTGAGACCCATTGGCTCCCCTCACCTGGTTTAGCCAGCCAGTGGAAGCCATTCCTGGGGTGTGGCTGCTGTTGCCTGCTAGGAGCCACAGGTGAGAGCTGATCGCAGGGTGGGGACCAAGGGTGGGCAAACTACCGTATTTTTTGCTCTATAAGACTCACTTTTTCCCTTCTAAAAAGTAAGGGGAAATGTGTGTGCGTCTTATGGAGCGAATGCAGGCTGCGCAGCTATCAAAAAAGCCAGAACAGCAAGAGGGATTGCTACTTTCACTGCGCAGCGATCCCTCTTGCTGTTCTGGCTTCTGAGATTCAGAATATTGTTTTTCTTGTTTTCCTCCTCCAAAAACTAGGTGCGTCTTGTGGTCTGGTGCGTCTTATAGAGCGAAAAATACAGTACTTCAGAAAGAGTACTGTGTGTCCCCTAGCCCAGTGGAAATCCTTGGCTGGACAGCTGACCTGCTGCTTAAACACACCTTGCCTTGAACCTGGCTTTGCTGGGCAGCTCCACAACTTTGCTAGGGACTCAATCTAGCCACACCAGGGAATGGGGCTAGCCAGGCCACCCCTACAACTCACCTAGTTTGGGGAAGACAATGCGATACTCCGTTCCACACTGTGGGCAGCTCACACTGCCTGTGCTGTTGCCTTTCTGCTTCTCATCCAGCCACCGCTGGAGGCAGGCCTGGTGGATCCATTTGGTGGAGCCTTTGCAGCGGCAGGGGCAGACCCACTCAGCAGAGCGGTCATCGCTCTCTGTGCCAAAACAGACCCAGCAGTGCCTGGGGGGGGGGGGGAGAGAGCATAGCTGTCACTTGTTCCACCAGTTTGAAGGTACATAAGAAGCTGGGCAAGGTAAGGTTTTAAACTCCCTAAATCATAAGACTGATAGGATTGAGGTAGTATGGAAGGAGGATAAAATTATAAAGGAATTAAATAATTTTAAAAAGTTGAAATCTGTGTTACAAGTAAATGAGAGTTGGAAGATGAAGGTTGTCTTTGCAAGAGTACCATGAGAGCATGTAAGCAAGAGATTGTTATAACTGTTGTAGCCACAGAGATAAGAAAGTTGCAATGCCCCATGGTTAAACCAGTAGAAGCCAGTCTTGCCATATATTGACGTAACTGCCGCCATTGCTTGTGTGTAAATCAGTGGCTCTGAAAGGGTGTGGCAGGAGATGGCAAGTGTGGCAGGAAGATTCAAGAACAAAGAAAATTTAAACATTTCAGAATAGTATAGGATACTATTAGTGCAACGTAGTGTGTGTGCGCGCACACACACACACACACACACACACACACAGAGTGGTACTTCGGGTTACATACGCTTCCAGTTACATCCACTTCAGGTTACAGACTCCACTAACCCAGAAATAATACCTTGGGTTAAGAACTTTCCTTCAGGATGAGAACAGAAATTGCACGGCGGCAGCAGGAGGCCCCATTAGCTAAAGTGGTTCTTCAGGTTAAGAACAGTTTCAGGTTAAGAACGGACCTCCAGAACAAATTAAGTACATAACCAGAGGTACCACTGTAAATGAATATGGGTAGATATGAGAGCAAGAGCATCAAACAACTCTCACCTATCATTCAGTTTCTGTACATACTTAAGGTACATTTGTAAGAGGCTTGCTTATAATTCTACTTTGGGAATGATTTGTGCTCTTATGTAGCTGCACTATTTTATAATTTCTGGATCATACAGTATTATAAAGTGGATGTCTTCTATGTTATAAATCAAGCACTGCCAGGAGTTGCTTTTTTGTTTGTTTTCCAATATATTTCTTATCAATAAAAGAATTGGTGCAGTGTGAGCATGTTTTTATTCTGAAAGTCTGGCCCAGAGAAAAGAGCTTGAGAACCACTGGAATACAGGGTAGGCCAGGCTGTGTTTTCCAGGCTCAAGACCAGGACAGAGAACCTTCCCCCGACTTTTATTTCCCTGGGAGAAGTGGGTGGGCTGGGCCGGGGCTGCCTCTCAGTAGTGGACAGGGCCAAAACTCACAAGCACCATCCATACCACAAGCATGGACACAGACATGCCCTCTCCTTGCACAGCCCACAACCCACATTCTTCCTCCTTGGGTAGCTTGGGGACAGGGCTCAGCCACACACACCCAGTTTCCACTGCAGAGCTGTTTTCCAGGGCTCAGCTGAGCAGCTTGGGAGCAGGACACAGGACGGGGAGCTTTAACCACACTGCTCACCTGATTTGAAAGAAAGGTGAGCATCAAGAAGAAATGGCCGGGGCCTGGGAAGAGGCCAGGGGGTCAGATCAGGAGACGCATTGGGACCCATCCCTGCTCTAAAAGGAAAGCCATGGGAAGACAAAAGGGATTTCCCAGAGTCCAGCAGGTACTTGGGCTACAGGATGCTTTTCACATCGTTCAGGAATGTCTCCCTCTGACCACAGCCTGGACAGGAGCCTGTGGTCCCTGTTGGTTCCCCAGTGGTTTCCAAGACTATACCATCAGCCACGGTAATCCTTCTGCACTAGCGCTGAAAACAGGTCCTGAGACATGCCTGAGGCCCAGGTGTAGTGCAGGTCGGCACAGCCAGCGTGTCCCAGTTACAGCACACAGAGTTTTAGTGTGTAAAGTGCTTTGATAAGGCTTCTAGTGACCCTGTAATGTAATACTGCAGATGAAAGCATGAGGCTTGGGAAAGAACAGGAGCAAATATAGGAGTACGCAAGATCTAAATGTGGGACTTCCTGATTTGTGGCTCCTTGTTCTCAGTCACCTTGACATGATAGCAAACAAGACTCGTTCCCCACAGCTTGGCCATCGACCCCACGATCCTATGCATTTCTGCTCCGACATACCTGGGATTTCCTCCAGCCCAGGTATGTTTATAGCAGGGATGGGGAAACGGTAGGCCTCAAGATGTTGCTGGACTACAACTCCCATCATCCATGGCAACATCTGTATAATAAAGGGTTACAGCTGAAGGGTTGTATGCAATGCTAGTTCATCTTGGACCCACTGAAATCAGTGGATTCAAGGCCATTGGTTGCAATGTGTTTACTCGGAGCAGAACTCACAATGGAGACCAGCCTTATCGATCTGGATTTCTGCTGCTTTTCCTGAGTGAGACTGTGGGACTTCAGACATCTTTTATATAAGAGGTGCTCAACTGACAACATTTTCTGGGATGGGAAGCTTGCTTTAGACTCACCCTGATGTCTTCCCTCAGCACCAGGCAGCTGAAGGGCATTTCATTTCATTTTATTTCACCAATTTAGATTTAACATAGGATTGCTTTGATGTGGCTCTTACACCCTACTGTTTAATGACTCTAGTCTTTTATTTATTCTGTTTCTTTTCATTTATTTTATTTTATTGTAAGCCACATTTGGTATCTATCAGAGGGCAGCATTACCTTTTTATTAATATAAATACAGACAATCAAGCCGGTTTTTCTAAATGTGTGGAAAACCGGTTAGAGAGAGGCCTGGGTTCCTAAAAGAGCCTTCGCCAACCTGGCGCCCTCCAGATGTTTTGGACTACAACACTCATGCGGTGGCAGTTGGGAGAGAAACTTGGGAAAGGCTGTCCTACGATTTGCTGTAGAGACGCTCATTCTGTCTTTCTGGACAAAAAAGCGCTTTAAAGAAAATGGTGAGTTTAAATTTCAGTTTCAGCCGCGGCAAGAAGAGCGAGCCCTTTCCGCCCGTGGGGCCGAAGCCCGCGGAAGGGCCCTTGGAGCAGCCCCTCTCTCTCGGCCGAGCCGGCTTCCCGGGGCTGCGGCGAAGCGAAGATGGAGGGCGGAGGAGGAGGAGGAGGAGAGAGCGAGGCCCCTTTCGGCTCTCGGGAAACGAGACCCCAAGCAGCCGCGGAGCCTCTTGGGGCTTCGGAAGCCCGGCGCCGGCGCCGCCGCCACCTTCGCGCCCGGAGGCGAGCAGGGCCAGAGAGGCTTGGCATCCACTAGAAGGGGCTGGGGGGGGGGAAGGGGCGGCCATTGGCCCGAGCCCAGCCTACCTCTCCGAGGCTTCCCCGGGAGCCGCCGCGTCTGCCATCGCCCGCCGTCAGCCCGGAGATGCGGCCCTTGGCCCGCGCGGCGAGGCCTCGCCCGGCTTCCGCCTGTGGCCGCGCCCGGCTCTTCTCCGCGGGCCAGGAGGAGCTTCACCTGCCGGAAGGCCGCCTCGCCCCAGGCCGGCGGAAGGCGGCGGCACTCGCTCCCCGGGGAGTGGTGGGGCGAGGATCGCGGCCCCCTGGGCTGGACTCCGGCCGGAAGGCAGGAGTGCGCGGCTCCTTTGAGTTTCTCTAGGAAAGTCCCCGCTCGGCCTTGGGGCTCCAGGGGTTTACCTTGGCGAGGATGGACTAGCGCAAGCCTCCGCCTGGAAGGCTTGCAACTGGGCCACGGGGCATAGTACTTTTTGTTTCGTGCATCCGTCTAGTCACCTCAAAATAGGCTTTCCAGGTCTCCTGGAAAAGGACAGTCCTCTTTTGAAGGGCTGCCAGAGGACAGTCCTCTAGGTAAAAGCATCCTTCATTTTTCCAGCACCTGAAGAGCAGACCTTGCAGCACTCAGCACTCCTGGCCACTCTTTCCCCTCTAGGGAGAGAGCTATTGTATTTAAGATTACTTTTTTCTAATTCTAATTAAAGGTAATTATGACCTTTAGGACCAGTCATAGTCGACTCTGGGGTTGCGGCGCTCATCTCGCTTTATTGGCCGAGGGAGCTGGCGTACAGCTTCCGGGTCATGTGGCCAGCAGGACTAAGCCGCTTCTGGCGAACCAGAGCAGCACACAGAAACGCTGTTTACCTTCCCGCCGGAGCAGTGCCTATTTATCTACTTGCACTTTGATGTGCTTTCGAACTGCTAGGTTGGCAGGAGCAGGGACCGAGCAACTTTTATGCAAAGCATGCTCTCCCTTTTGGATGTGTAAGTGGGGCACCCTACCTCAAAAGCCCCCTAGAGCAGGCATGGGGAACCTGTTGCCCTCCAGAGGTTACTGATGTTTTAATCTGTTGGACACCACCCAGAGTGGCTGGGGCAACCTAGTCAGATGGGTGGCATATAAATAATAATTTAGTATTAGTAGTATTGGGCTGCAGCACTCATCTTCCCAGATCATTAGCCACTCTATCTTTGCCCCCAAAAGAGAGCCTTCCAGTAAGCCGGGGGCGGCGGCTTTTGGCCCTCCAGATGTTGCTGAACGACTCCTCTAATCAGCTCCAGCATAGCTAACAGCCAGGAAGAAGAGAAGAGTTTGGATTTGATATCCCGCTTTATCACTGCCCTAAGAAGTCTCAAAGCGGCTAACATTCTCCTTTCCCTTCCTCCCCCACAACAAACACTCTGTGAGATGAGTGGGGCTGAGAGACTTCAAAGAAGTGTGACTAGTCCAAGGTCACCCAGCAGCTGCATGTGGAGGAGTGGAGATGTAAACCCGGTCCACCAGATTACAAGTCTACCGCTCTTAACCACACTGGAAGAATGGGAGTTGTCCTTCAGCAACATCTGGAGGGCCAAAGTTCACTAGCACCTGCAATAAACCTACCTGGGAATCAAATGAACATTGCAACTCTCATTCCAACCTTGCTTGCTTATTCCTTCTATTGACATTTTATTTGGTTGGAGTTTCTTCCTGGCCCCTCCTTTTTTGTGGATACACGTAAATTAAATGGCATTGTTGCACATTCAGAATAGAAAGATGAAAGGTCAGAAGGAATCACAAGCTATCTAAATGTAGAGTGCTGAGATCCAGTGCAGAGTATTGCTCTTGGGCTGGAGAGGCCTAGATTTAAATCCTTGCTCCCAAATTCACTGGTGATTTTGCATGGATCACCATCAATCTGCTGAACCTCCTACACAGAGTTGTTGTGAAGGTGGAATGTGGGGAAAGGACATTTAGGCTGCCCTGAACTGTTGGGAGGAGTGCCAGCCTGCAAATGTAGGGAACTCCCTTGCTCCACAGGGCCACCCACCACTGTGGGAAAGATCCCAGGAGAAGACACCCGTGGGCTAGCTCCTCTCCTCTCTCTACCATCAGCTGCCCAGAGGGAAAGATCCTGATGAGTTTTAGAGTGGATACTGTGAAATGTGGCTATAAAACACACACATTTTAATGTTATTTTTCCATTGCCTGGGAAATATTCATATCCTAAAAGAAGGGATATCAATGACTATACTAGATAAGTATGCTGAATAAAATGGATTCTGGAAGACATGATGGTGATTATTATTTATTATGTTTGTTCACAACTTTTTACAAGACATCTCATAGCAACTTACCGTGAAGGGAGTTTGCCAGGTTTGAAGTGGACTCTAGTCCCCAAAGGCTTATGCCAAAAGAAATTTATTAATAACTGGTCCATACAGAAACGCCGTTTGCCTTCCCACCGCAGTGGTACCTATTTATCTACTTGCGCCAGTGTGCTTTCGAGTGTGCAGGAGCTGGGACAGAGCAACGGGAGCTCACCCTGTCACGGGGATTCGAACCGCCGACCTTCCGATCGGCAAGCCCAAGAGGCTCAGTGGTTTAGACCACAGCGCCACCCGCGTCCCAGGTGAAGCAGAGGCTGTCCCTGCACTCCTGCTGATCTTTGCAGCGCCAATGATCAAGATGGCACTGACTTGTGAGGCCTGGCACAAAGACTGCACTTTATTTACTTGTGATCAGTGAAGAGGCCTCACCAACACTTTAGCGTCACAGGCTGCTAGCATTTTCATCCCCCTGCTAAGTTTTGCCAGGATCCAACTGTCCCCTCACCCTCCACCCCTCACCCAAAGCTCCTGTTTCCACCTCCAGTCTCTGGGAGAGGCAGAGAGAAGGCCCCAGGTTCAGTTCCTCCATAGCACCCCCAAATAAGGATCCCCTCCCCCAAAAAACCAGTCTGAAACCTTGGAGAGGCCACAGCCAGCCAGTGTAGGCCACATTGAGGTGACGGACCCCTGCTCTGTCGCGTTCACTCACCACGCCCTGCCAGAGGAGAAGCCCATTTGCTGAGTTGGTGCGCACTTCCAGCTCGATCGTCTCCGGTGAGTCCGGGAGGCTGCAACCAAGAGAAAAAAAAGAGACTAAGCGATGAGAGACTGTGCACATTTCTGCTGCGTTAGCCAGTTTCCCCACAGGAATCTGGTTGGTCACTGGGAGAAGAGAACGCTGGATGAGATGGCCCTTCGGTGGATTTCTGAAAAATAAGTCATGTCAGACTAACATGGATTTCTGAAAAATAAGTCATGTCAGACTAACCTGATCTCGTTTTTTGACAGAATTACAAGCCTGGTAGATGAAGGGAACGCAGTGGATGTAGCCTACCTTGATTTCAGCAAGGCATTTGACAAGGTGACCCATGATATTCTTGTAAAGAAGCTGGTAAAATGTGGTCTTGACTATGCTACCACTCAGTGGATTTGTAACTGGCTGACGGACCGAACCCAAAGGGTGTTCATCAATGGTTCCTCTTCATCCTGGAGAAGAGTGACTAGTGGGGTGCCACAGGGTTCTGTCTTGGGCCCGGTCTTATTCAACATCTTTATCAATGACTTGGATGATGGACTCAAGGGCATCCTGATCAAATTTGCAGATGACACCAAACTGGGAGGGGTGGCTAACACCCCAGAGGACAGGATCACACTTCGAAACGACCTTGACAGATTAGAGAACTGGGCCAAAACAAACAAGATGAATTTTAACAGGGAGAAATGTAAAGTATTGCACTTGGGCAAAAAAATGAGAGGCACAAATACAAGATGGGTGACACCTGGCTTGAGAGCAGTACATGTGAAAAGGATCTAGGAGTCTTGGTTGACCACAAACTTGACATGAGCCAACGGTGTGACGCGGCAGCTAAAAAGCCAATGCAATTCTGGGCTGCATCAATAGGAGTATAGCATCTAGATCAAGGGAAGTAATAGTGCCACTGTATTCTGCTCTGGTCAGACCTCACCTGGAGTACTGTGTCCAGTTCTGGGCACCACAGTTCAAGAAGGACACTGAGAAACTGGACCGTGTCCAGAGGAGGGCAACCAAAATGGTTAAAGGCCTGGAAACGATGCCTTATGAGGAACGGCTAAGGGAGCTGGGCATGTTTAGCCTGGAGAAGAGGAGGTTAAGGGGTGATATGATAGCCATGTTCAAATATATAAAAGGATGTCACATAGAGGAGGGAGAAAGGTGGTTTTCTGCTGCTCCAGAGAAGCGGACACGGAGCAATGGATCCAAAGTACAAGAAAGTAGATTCCACCTAAACATTAGGAAGAACTTCCTGACAGTAAGAGCTGTTCGACAGTGGAATTTGCTGCCAAGGAGTGTGGTGGAGTCTCCTTCTTTGAAGGTCTTTAAGCAGAGGCTTGACAACCATATGTCAGGAGTGCTCTGATGGTGTTTCCTGCTTGGCAGGGGGTTGGACTCGATGGCCCTTGTGGTCTCTTCCAACTCTATGATTCTATGATTCTATTCTATGATTCAATCCAGGAGGGCTCTCCTTAGGGACACCCGTTGTAATAGCAGAACCTCCTTGCCCAGGAGCAGTCTACCTCTGAATACCGGGTGATGGCGAACAGCAACTGTAGAGTTGCACTCGTGCCCTGCTTCCAACCCTCCCGCAAGCACAGGACGCTGGATCTCGATGGGCAACTGATCAGATCAAGATGAAGGCACTTATTACGATATGATACGATAATCTTTGTTGTCACTGTCCCATACAGAACAACGAAATTGAAAAATCTACATAAGACATTCAAAACCCAACAAGCCTGCTATCCCAGCTATCCCAACCTGGTAAGCCTGGTATTTTATAAGACATCTGAAGGCAGCCCTGTTTAGGGAAGTTTTTAATGTTTGATGTTTTATTGTGTTTTTAATAATTTGTTGGGAGCCGCCCAGAGTGGCTGGGGAAACCCAGCCAGATGGGCAAGGTATAAATAAATTAGTAGTAGTAGTAGTAGTAGTAGTAGTAGTAGGCAAGAGACTGGCCCCCATGGGGGTGAGAGCATTCTGTCCCAGCAGGAGGTGGTCCAGATTCCTGCATTGCTGGGGGGGGGGGTTTGAATTAGATGATTCTTGGGGTCCCTTCCTACTTCACAGTTCTGTGATTATACTTAACAGTTCTGTGATTATAAGACCCCCTCAATATGCAGTGCAGAGACTTATCATCATCGAATTGTAGAGTTGTAAAGGATCCCAAAGGGTCATCCAGCCTGACCCCCTACAAGACAGGAATCACAGCTCAGGAATCCCCAAAAGATGGCCATCCAACATCAGTTTAAAAACCTCTGATGAAGGAGAGTCCGCCACCTACCAAGGGACTGTTCCACTGTTGAATGGCTCTTATTAAGCCTAACTAAAATCAATCATAAGCTAAAAACACCTGTCAACATTTTCACACGTCTGGATAAGCAATTGCCTTTTAAAAAAATGTTTTTAGCAGGCGCCAAATAGAGTACAGTGAAGGCACCCAACTGATGTCAGTAGGTAGGGGGTTGCAAAGTGTCGGTGCCGCCACACTCAAAGACGGGATTTCTTACAAAGTAAAATGTGGCACCTGAGAAGCAGTACCAGTTCCTTAGCAGTTCATGGGCTTCTCCCTCTATGGCATGACCCCCACTATGGGGGTTCTCTCCCTCTATGGGATAGACCCCCAGACGAGAGCAACCCCACTGATGCCTAGGGGTGCCATCTCCTAAGGAAAGGAGAAGGTGAGAAACAACGCTCTGGTTTCTGTCACAGGAGGAAGGAGAGAGCGCCAAAGCGAAGGACTTCATCAGCCTCGGGCTGAAGGACGGGCACCTGGTGTTCAGGTGAGGGAAGGCCGCATAAGAGCTCACGCTATAGGTCGCTCTGCATTGAGGCTCCGGGGTGGCCAGTGTGGTGTAGTGGTTAAGAGCGGTAGTCTCGTAATCTGGGGAACTGGGTTCGCGTCTCCGCTCCTCCACCTGCAGCTGCTGGGTGACCTTGGGCCAGTCACACTTCTCTGAAGTCTCTCAGCCCCACTCACCTCACAGAGTGTTTGTTGTGGGGGAGGAAGGGAAAGGAGAATGTTAGCTGCTTTGAGACTCCTTCGGGTAGTGATAAAGAGGGATATCAAATCCAAACTCTTCTTCTTTTTCTCTGACACTGACTGTGTGTTTCCTGCAGTTACCAGCTAGGAAGCGGAGAAGTGAACATCCTGTCCGAAGACCCAGTTGATGATGGAGAATGGCACAGAGTGACAGCCATCTGGTGAGACGAGTGTGGAGAGATGTGGCTTGGGACACCCCTAGTTTGACAAGCCCAAGCATTGTCAAGGCCCTGTTTCCTGAACAAGGTGGGTTGAGGAACAATTTGTTTGCTTCTGGGGCTGGGGATGCTGTCCCGCCCTTGAAGCTGGCCCAGAAACTCCAGTGGGTACAGAATGCCGCGGCGAGGCTCCTTACGGGGTCCTTGCCGCGGGATCACATTCATCCAGTGCTTTACCAGCTGCACTGGCTCCTGGTGGAGTACAGGGTCAGGTTTAAGGTGCTGGTTTTGACCTTTAAATCCCTACACGGCCTAGGACCCACATACCTACAGGACCGCCTCTCCTGGTATGTCCCACGGAGGACCTTATGGTCTTCAAATAAAAACATCTTGAAGGTCCCAGGCCACAGAGAGGTTAGGCTGGCCTCAACCAGAGCCAGGGCTTTCTCGGCTGCGGCTCCAATCTGGTGGAACGCTCTGCCACAAGAGACTAGGGCCTTTTTTTTTTTTTTTTAAATAATTTTTATTAAAGTTTTAAACAAAGAAAAAAGAAAAAACAACACACACAAAAAAAATTACAAAATTTAACAATAAAAACACACAACATAACAATTTAAAACAAACTCTCTTTTACATTCCCAATTTTGAATTACTTATTTTCTGGACTTCCTCATACCTCCCTCTTTTGTATTCCAATCTACATTATTTGTCCAGCAGTTTCTTTTCCCCTTTCTAAACCCAATCTTTAATTTAATGAAATATTAAACTATATAACTTCAGCTTTTTTTTTTTTAAACATAATCCTTGTTCTTAATGTCATATACCTTTAAATTTTTCCCAATCTTAATCTTTAATCTTAATCTATCCTAACTTTAACCTGTACAGCTGGAAACCACTTATTTTCAATCCAACATCACTCTAACATTCCTTAATTTTGCAGTGTTTCTGAAGATAGTCTTTGAATTTCTTCCAATCTTCCTCTATCGACTCTTCTCCCTGGTCACGGATTCTGCCAGTCATTTCCGCCAATTCCATATAGTCCATAAGTTTCATCTGCCATTCCTCCAGCGTGGGAAGTTCTTGTGTCTTCCAATACTTTGCGATGAGTATTCTTGCTGCTGTTGTTGCATACATAAAGAAAGTTCTATCCTTTTTAACACCATTTGGCCCACTATGCCCAGGAGAAAGGCCTCTGGTTTCTTGGGAAAGGTATACTTAAATACCTTTTTTAATTCATTATATATCATTTCCCAGAAAACCTTAATCTTTGGGCACGTCCACCAAAGGTGAAACATGTACCTTCAGTTTCTTTACATTTCCAACATTTGTTATCGGGCAAGTGATAGATTTTCGCAAGCTTGACTGGGGTTAAGTACCACCTGTATATCATTTTCATAATATTCTCTCTTAAGGCATTACATGCCGTAAATTTCATACCAGTGGTCCATAACTGTTCCCAGTCAGCAAACATAATGTTGTGTCCTACGTCCTGTGCCCATTTCATCATAGCCGATTTTACCGTTTCATCTTGAGTATTCCATTTCAGCAGCAAGTTATACATTCTTGACAGATTCTTAGTATTGGGTTCTAACAATTCTGTTTCTAATTTCGATTTTTCCACCTGGAAGCCAATTTTCCTGTCTAATTTAAATGCCTCCATTATTTGATAATAATGAAGCCAGTCTCGCACTTTGTTTTTTAATTTTTCAAAACTCTGCAATTTCAGTCTATCTCCGTCTTGTTCCAAAATTTCCCAATATTTCGGCCATTTGACCTCCATATTGACCCTTTTCAAGGCTTTCGCTTCCATTGGTGACAGCCACCTTGGGGTTTTATTTTCTAACAAATCCTTATATCTTATCCAAACATTAAATAGCGCTTTCCTGACAATGTGGTTTTTAAATGCTTTGTGTGCTTTGACCTTATCATACCATAAATATGCATGCCATCCAAATACATTATTAAAACCTTCCAAATCCAAAATGTCAGTGTTTTCAAGAAGTAGCCATTCTTTCAACCAGCAAAAAGCTGCTGATTCATAATAAAGTTTAAGGTCTGGCAGGGCAAATCCACCTCTTTCTTTTGCATCTGTTAAAATTTTAAATTTTATTCTAGGTTTCTTGCCCTGCCAGACAAATTTAGAAATGTCTTTCTGCCACCTCTTGAAACAGTCCATTTTGTCCACGATCTGCAAAGTTTGAAACAAAAACAACATTCTAGGCAATACATTCATTTTTATCGCAGCAATACGGCCTAGCAGTGAAAGCTTCAAGTTTGACCAAATTTCTAAATCTTTTTTCACTTCTGACCAACATTTTTCATAGTTATCTTTAAATAAATTCCCATTTTTTGCTGTCATGTTAATCCCCAACACAAGAGACTAGGGCCTTGCGGGACTTAACATCTTTCCGCAGGGCCTGCAAGACAGAGCTGTTCCAGCTGGCCTTTGGTTTGGACTCAGTCTGACCCTTATGTTTCCCTCCCCTTATGGTTTTGATCCATGGGCTATTTTTAAAATGAGGCTGCATTTTAAATTGCATTTTAACCTGTATTTTAAATTGTTCCCCCCGCATTATGTTTTTATTGTAATTTTACTGGTGTTAGCCGCCCTGAGCCTGGCTCATGCCAGGGAGGGTGGGGTATAAATAAATTATTATTATTATTATTATTATTATTTTGATCCATGTGAGGATTCCCCTGTGGAATATCCTTGGACCACATTTCCAATTCTGTTCTCACGGGCAGATGACAAGCACTTCCTTATCCATGCTCATCCTCTCCAATCGAACCAACCTCACTCAAAAACACCTTAGTTCTTCTGACACACTTTCCCGTTCCTCCCCCAGGGAAGGGAAAAGAGGCTTCCTTCAAGCTAACGGCGAGGAGATGGTAGCTGGGGAATCTCCTGGCAAGAACGTCATGGTGAATACCAAAGGTCGAATTTATATAGGTAAGCGCCTTCGTCTCAACAAAGCCGGACCACTTTCAGGGCACTTTGGGTGTATGGGCTCATGAGGGATTCACACTTCCCCTTTTCGTTTAGTTTTTGGCAGCCCTCATCAACTGAGTAGGTTTTCTTCTTCTTCTTCTGTTATGTTTCACTCGGGGGTACAGCCATGAGGTGGGAACAGGCCAGAGAATCATAGAATTGTAGAGTTGGAAGGGACCACAAGGAACATCTAGTCCAGCGGCTCTCAACCAGTGGGTCCCCAGATTTTGTTGGACTACAACTCCCATGATCCCTGAGCTCTGGCCTTGTTAGCTAGGGGTGATGGGAGTTGTAGTTCAACAACATCTGGGGACCCACAGGTTGAGAAAGGCTGATCCCAGAACCCGGGTCAGGGCGCCAGCAGTGCGAAAGCACCTTCCCATTTCGCCTAAGGCAACAGAACAGGATGTGTCCTCCATGCAGGAGGGCATTGCTTTTCATGTTTCCTTTCAGTGCTGATTGCCACACTGGTTGCTGCCTGACTTCTAGAGCCTTTCCATGCAAATGGTGTAAAATTCACAGGTGCCGCACGACAACTTTGTGGCATCAGCCCTCCTGAATTTGGGAAGGCTGTTCAAAGGACCCTCATCCTCAAAGCTTTACACTTCAGTCTGGACTGTGTCAATGTCTTGTCACTTTCAGAGCACCCTCAGGGCCACCCCTCCCTACAAGATGTTCCTGGGTGGACATTATCGATTTGCTAAGCAATGCTTCTTCAGGAACGCCTCCTACAAATGGTTTATTGAATATTTACAGATAAATCATAAACAGATAAGAACATTGGCGGGATTATTGTAATAACCTGCAGTTTCATAAGAGTATATATTTAAAGAAGATAAATAAATTAAAGTTACTGTCAAATGTAATACACAATACCCAAATATAGGCCGCTCCATTAAAATTCTGCAGGCAGTCACACCTGTTCCATTTTACCATATGTCTGTTTCAGCAGCGTTATCGTAAAAGCCAGTTTTTGTAAGGTCACGAATTTAAGCCACACTTTAACTTTTCATGGTCGGAATTTGGGGGAAAAAGTGAGGCTTATAAAATATATATATAGAACGCCTACAAAAAAAACCCAGGAGAAACACAACAAAAGGATTTTAATGCATTTCCCTAATCGTGTTTCTACATTTTCCTTTAAGAAAACATAGAAAGCAGCTTGCATGAATTTCATTTTAAAAACGTGGTCCACGTGGCAGTGAGAACAGCAAGTGACTTGTGGGCCTGAGATGTGAACGAATAGCAATAGGAGAACCTTGAAAAGTCTACACGCCTCTCTGAAGGATGCTGTGCAATTGAATCCCACGCCCCAAATGAGGCAGCACCAGGGATGGTCCCTGCCAGCCTCCCGAATCCTCCCAGTGACTTGAGGAGGAGAAAGAGGACAACAGCCTCTCCCCTTCAGGGAACACACTTGCTGACGGACGGCTCTTCCTTTCCCCCTGCGCAGGCGGAGCACCTGACATCCAAACCCTGACCGCGGGAAAGTACATCTCAGGGATCACGGGCGGCATCAAGAATGTGGTGCTGATCAGTGACCGGCCGGCCAGCAGCCTCAGCCGCCCTTTGACCTGGACCGTCACTCTGAGGCCGTTCTCAACATCCAGGAGTGCTCCTCATAGGCCGGGCTTGCCTCTTAATCACACTCTTCGCTGTTTTATTTTTTTGTCATCAGACCAATTGAGAGACATCTATTGTTATTATTATTGTTATTATTTTATTTTTATTTTTATTATTATTATTATGAATTTTTTTAAAAAAAGAGAAACACACACACACACACACACACACAAATGGTGCTTTGCTGTTACCAAAAGAAAATGGGGGTGGGGTGGGGAGACGTGGGAGGGAGTTGGTTTGTGAGGGGGTTTTTTTGTGGAAGTGACAGACCGATGGGGGCCACGCAGGGCCTGTCGTCGTCCCACCACCTTCCCCAGCACTCACATGGAAGGACAGAGAGAGAGAGAGAGAGAGGGCACAGTGGACACTTAAAGGACTGGAGAGCGGCATTCGTGAGAGGCGCTTGGACAGTGCCGTGCCCGAGGTCCATATGAACCTACCCGGACCCTAGATCATCTTCTGAGGCCCTTCTTTGTGTGCCTCCTCCTCGAGAGGTCCAGAGGGTGGCAACATGAGAACGGGGCCTTCTCTGCAGTGGCTCCCTGTCTGTGGAATGCTCTCCCCAGGGAAGTTCGCCTGGTGCCTTCATTACACACTTTTAGGTGCCAGGCCAAAACTTTCCTCTTTAACCAGGCCTTTGGTTGATCTGTTTGACATCCTATACCCTTTTAAAATGCAGCTCCTTTGGGGGGGTGTTATTGGGTTGTTTTTATTTTGATTATATATATTGTGGTTTTTATGTTTATCTTTTCTGTGAACCTCCCTGAGATCTCCGGGTATAGGGTGGTATAATAATAATAATAATAATAATAATAGGAAATACTACTTTGCTTAGTGCATAGTTAAACTATGGAACTCCCTGCCACAGAAGGCAGTGATGGCCACCAGTCTAGAAGGCTTTGAAAGAGGATCAGATCAGGCAAATTCATGGAGGTCAGAGGCAGTGAATGCTTAAGAATTCCAGTTGCTCTTGTGCTCTGGTTGCAGGTTTCCCACAGGCATCTTGGCAGCCACTGTGAGAACAGGATGATGGACTAGATGGGCCATTGGCCTGATCCAGCAGGCTATTCTTGTGTTCTTAAATGCATGGTGTGGATGGTGCCAAATGCCTTAGTTTGAAACCACTGAGGAAAGAAGCAGGCATCTCCTGCCACCTTGTGGGAAATCAGCCAGTATACATCTGCCTGATTAGCCCAGGAGTCAGCAACCTTTTTCAGCTGTGGGCCAGTCCACCATCCCTCAGACCATGTGGTGGGCCGGACTATATTTGGGGGTGGGGAGGAAGAAGAACACATTCCTATGCCCCACAAATAACCCAGAGATGCATTTTAAATAAAAGGCAACATTCTACAGTGGTACCTTGGGTTACATACGCTAAGGTTACATATGCTTCAGGTTACAGACTCTGCTAACCCAGAAATATTACCTCGGGTTAAGAACTTTGCTTCAGGATGAGAACAGAAATCGTGCGGTGGCAGCGGGAGGCCCCATTAGCTAAAGTGGTGCTTCTGGTTAAGAACAGCTTCAGATTAAGAACGGATCTCCAGAACGAATTAAGTTCTTAACCCGAGGTACCACTGTACTCATGTAAAAACACCAGGCAGGCCCCACAAATAACCCAGAGGTGCATTTTAAATAAAAGGACACATTCTACTCATGAACAAGGGGCATCTAGTCCAGTTGCCTGCAAAACAGGAATCCAATTCAAGAATCCCTTGCAAATGGCCACCCAACCTCTGTGTATAAAAAACCTCCAAAGAAGGAGAGTCCACTGTTACGCTATAGAAGCAACGCAGCTGCAAACTGATAGCTTGAAAACATCACATGATGGGAATGGTGGGACTGACTGTGGGAAACGGTGGGACAGTCAGTTCACAGGGCAATGCACCGGAATTTGCTCAGAGTGTAATTTGAGACCTTCCTCTTGCGTATGCACAGGAAGTATTTGTCACTTGCTGGAAGGAGTTTGAAGTAAACGGACATGTTTTCTGTAGTGCTGAAAAGTCTAAATAAAAGCATGTAAAATAGATGTTTCTGTCTATCTCCTTTCCCTGCTGGGGAGCAGGTGGGAGGGGGTGTGCATCTCCCACACTGGGAGGTGTCGCCTATTGAGACCTAGCCTGGATCCTGCGGGAATTGCAGACAGAGACCAAGCTGGGAGCCCGGGAGAGTTGCCAGCTTCTCCCGAAGAAGGCTTGATTTACAACATCCACCACCTTCTGAGGGCATCTGAATTGATATCCCATCTTTTACTCCAAGGAGCTCAAGACGACATACATAGTTCTCGCCTTCTCATTTAATCCCCACAACCTGGCCCCAGGTCACCCAGTGAGCTGCATAGCTGAGTAAGGAGGTATTTGAACCCTAGTCTCTCCCAGGATTTCCCCTTCTGAGAAACAGCCCTTCACTTCACTCACAGAAGCTGCTCAGTTCTGCTCCTGATGAGCAGTTGCTGGTGTGGTTTAAAAAAAAACACAACTGCAAGCATTCTATGATGTCACAGTAGGGGGCTTGCAGGCGCTGGGCAACTGAAGTTGGCATGAGTGTTACACAAATCTGAAGGTGCACACATAGCAGACACACACCCTAGAGAAAAACCAATCCTTCACCATTCAAAAATTATAAAATATTCCCTGGAAAAAAAGACACTTTCTTTGACTTCACAGAGCAATCCTGAAGCCATCTTGACTCTCTTAATGACCCAAGGTATTTATTCTGCAGTTGAAGGAAAAACCTTTCCCAATAGTTCTTTTCACTTACAAATCCTGCAAAACCTATAAGCCTCTCACATAAATAGGGGTAGATCTGTGACAATGGATTCAAGAACTGAGGTATTTACCATTTCAAGGGAACGGCTCAGACTGGCAGGAAAGGGCAACTAGCAAACATTGTCAGGTATCATGACAAGAGACAAGCCAGGAGACAAGACTGCCTCTTTCTGTGATGTATGTCTGATGCTTGTTGGGTGGGCGGGGGTTTTCGACCAGGGTGCTGTGGCACCCTTTGGTGCCTTGAATGATGGTCAAGGGTGCTGGGAGCAACACTGGCCTCTGTCCCTCTTTCTCTCCCCCCCCATGCCTTCTTGCATCTCTGCCTCCCAAAGGCTTGCGCAGCTGTTTGTTGCAGCACCCCTGGCTACTAGCTCCCCAGGCGACCGGTGCCTCTGGAGCTGGCCAGGGGGTGCTTCCCAGGCCCCTGTGGGGCAGCGTGAGGAGGCACCTCTGTTTAGGGAAGGGGCGGCAGCTGCGGCTGTGCAGAGGACTCCTAAGGAGAGGGGAGAGGAGAAGAGGGAACACTCCACAAGGGAAGGAGTCAGAAAAAGAACGAGAGGCTGCCAGCTCTGCTGGTAAGGGGTGACATAGCTGGGCTCCTGAGCCTCACAGGGCTGCCACAGAAAGAATGTAGTTGGTCAAGGGAGCCGTGGACTCAAAAAAGTCAAAAACCTCTGGGCTAAGGGAAACCCAGCCACATTGGAGGGGGGGGGGTATAAAAAATAAATTATTATTGTTGTTATGGGCAATTTCTCAAGTCTTTCAAAGTTGTTACACACACTTGTCTTGGCTCCTCAACTCTATGCAACATGTAAGGTGAGAAACTTTGTCACAACAGTAAAATTAAGATCTAACTTGCTTTGACTGGTTCCTGCCACCGCTCATTTTTCTCTGACCCATCATGGATTTAGCCCCAACCCCAAGAAACCAGTAACTGAAGGAGGTGGGTCATGGGAATTGAAGCGTATGCTTTCTGCATACAACACACCCACTGCCAAGCAGCTCCATCTCATCTGCCCCCAACCCCATACCACCCTCTCTCCTAAAATAGACCAGGGTCACTGAGTCACTTAGCCGTACTGGAAGATTCCTAAAATGTTATTAATCCAGAGTTCAGAATTAAGAATTCAAAGGTCCCAAATATAAAATAAATGTTCATAAATGTACACGGCAAACACATAAGTAAGTACAGGGGAGCAATCCTGTCAGCTTCTTTAGGAGACAACAAGAGCCTGCAAAGCAGGATACAAATAATAGAAAAAGTATTAAACTGTACATTTCAAAGAATATATATATATCACCCTAGCGTTGCATGGCATTAACATAGTTCTAACCACTAGGCCACACGGACTCTCCTAGAACCTTGGCACTGAGGCCGGGAATTCCATCTTCTCAACTGCCGTTGCCTAGCAACAGAGCTTGTGACCGTTTGAGGTTCCTCAGCATCTGGAGGTTGGCAGAGGTCGCCTGTAGTGACCTTCGCGCAGTCACTACGGGAGAGGATGGCGTCCCAAAGACTCCTGGAGGTAAGTAGAGGTTATTTATACCCCGCCCTCCCCAGCCAAGACCGGGCTCAGGGTGGCTAATAACCAATAATAAAAACAAGTTGATTAAAATACAATTTAAAAGATTAAGATACAACATTAAAACATTAGGATGCAGCCTCTTCACAGGAGGAGAAAGGAAAAAGAAAGAGGGGGAGGGAATCAAATTGGCTCCAAGCCAAAGGCCAGGCGGAACAACTCTGTCTTACAGGCCCTGCAGAAAGAAATCAGATCCCACAGGGCCCTGGTCTCATGAGGCAGAGCGTTCCACCAGTGTTGAGAAGGCCCTGGCTCTGGTTGAGGCTAATCTGACTTCCTTAGGGCCCGGGACCTCTAGGGTGTTGCTATATATGGATTTTAAGGTCCTCCGGGGGGCATATCAGGAGAGGCGGTCCCGTAGGTACGAGGGTCCTAGGCTTTAAAGGTCAAAATCAACACCTTAAATCTGACCCTGTACTCCACCGGGAGCCAGTGCAGCTGGAAAAGCACTGGGTGAATATGCTCCCATGGCAGAGACCCTGTGAGGAGCCTCGCTGCAGCATTCTGCACCCGCTGGAGTTTCTGGGACAGCTTCAAGGGCAGCCCCGCGTAGAGCGAATTACAGTAGTCAAGCCTGGAGGTGACCGTCACATGGATCACTGTGGCCAGGTCAGGGCGGGAAAGGTAAGGGACCAACTGCTTGATGGGTCTGATCCATTCTTCACATTCTGACGTTCCTGTTTCTCTTTTCTCATGGACAGGGAATTGATTTTGATGAAGATCAAATATCAGAAATCAGCCTGGAAGATGGGGAGGATCTTCCTCCAAGGTAATCCTGTGCTAATCCCCTCCCCCATAATCAATTGCTTTTTTAAAAAAACCCCAGTAAGAGTAAGGTTCAAAGTACTGATGGAGGTGAGAGAAAGGGGCGGGTTCACAGTCCCAAACCTCAAGCTGTATTTTGAGGCTGCATGCATGACATGGCTGAAAGATTGGATCTTAGACCTGGAGGGCTGGGACAAACTTTTCAGGTGGCATGGCTACCTGGGTCACGATAAATTAAAAGACTTCACTAATCATTTGGTGAGAAAGGCCCTATTCGAAGTTTGGGAAAGAAATAAAACAATAGTAACAGCCAAAACTCCCTGTTGGCTATCACCTATAGAGTCATCAGCCTTGCATAGAAGCAATATGAAAGATAGCTGGCTAACATATAGGGAACTCGTAGAAGAGATCAAAGATTGCCCAACAGTAAAGAAATTTGAAGAATTAAAAGAGGGTGTGTGTGAATTGGTTAGAATATTTCCAATTAAAAACAATATTTGAGAAGGATAATAAGCTTAAGGGGTTTGATAAAAAAATCTTGGTATGGGAGAAAGAAATTTTATATATCAATCAATCTTTATTACGGTCCAGAGACCCAACAAATCATTACAAATCAATACACAATTCATACAGCCTACCTCCAGGTTAAACAAGCATTTTGTTTAGAATATAGGGCTCATTTGTTCTTGCAACCACCGATAAAAACTTTGCCACTGCTAACGTTCTAGCATTTGTCCAGTCTTCCAGTAGGAACCTGACATAGTGAGCCTCTGATTTTCCCGGGAAAGTTACCAGCAAGGGTAGTATCAGTTCAGCCCTGGCTTGCTCATATTTTGCACAATGCAGCAAAATATGTTTTATGGAATCGATGTCTTGAGCACATGAGCAAAGTCTGCCCTGGTAGGGAACTCCTCTCAACCTGCCATTCAACACTGCAGAGGGAAAGACATTTAGTCTGGCTTTGGTGAAAAGCCTACGGTAGTTTGGTACTGTCAGATTTTTAATGTAAGATGTTGACTTAAAGACATGCCCATATTGTACTCCTACTGCCAGCTGACTACAGACTGCGTGTGATCGAGATCGCAAGTCACTGTGTGCATTATCCCATAATCTTTGCTTTAAAATCTTTTGGGCGCCTTCATAACCGAGGTAATACAGTTGGGGGGGGGGGAGACAGACCAATAGAGGTGGCTTTTTTAGCCATGGTTTTCTGCCATTTGCTGACAAATTCCTCATTGGTCAGGTGTTGGTACAACCCCCCTAGGTTAAACATTGAAATCCTGAGCCAATGTTTTAGGGCAGCCCACCACGCTTTAGTTGAAATTGGGCATTCACCAGCTTCTAACAGAAGTACGGAGTTGGGGACGCAGTTGGGTACCTGCAGCAGAGATCGTAGAAATTTTGCCTTAAAGCCATCTAGCTTTGGCAGGTCCCCATTATGCCAGACATTTGCTGCATACAGGAGTTGGGAAACGGGCTTTGCGTTGAAAACCCTTAAGGCTGCTGGAACATATTTGCCGCCCTTTGTGAAAAAGAATCTGAGTATGGCTAGCTTTGTAATCTCCGCCTTTTGAAGGGAGGTTTGCCAATTGTTAGGTACTGAAGTTCTCACCCTGGGCCAGCAGGGAGATACTGTAGATAGTTATGCAAATGAAGGATCGAAAGTGACGTTCAGTGATTGGATAGTTTGTATGCAAATGAAGGATCGAAAAGTGATGTTCAGTGATTGGATAGTTTTAGAAAGTCGCAACAGTTATGCTGTTCTGGAGCTCTATATAAGCAGGCTGACTGAGCTCCTCAGTTCAGTTCTGTTCTGGCCTTTTGAATAAACAAGAGCTGTTTGAAGAAGTATTGTGTCGTCTGATATGTTCGCCCACAACTTAACACCAATGGTGCTTCCAAGATCCTGTATGATGGAATGTGAGCCCTAGATAACTGAAGTATTTTATCTGTTCAAGGTTATGACCATCCAGCACCCATTTAGACCGGGAGAATCTTCTTTCGAAGACTAAAATTTTAGATTTTTCATAATTAATGGATAAACCATTTCCAGAACAGTAATCAGAAAATTTCCTCAGCAGATAATTCAAACCCGGTCTGGAACGTGAGATGATGGCCGCGTCATCAGCATATAGCAACAAGGGGGTCCTTCTCATTCCTATTTTTGGAATGTGTCCATCTGGGTCCATTAAGTTCTCTTCTAGGTCATTTAAGAATAGACAAAACAATGTGGGGGCCAAAATACAACCCTGTCTCACCCCCCTAGTCATCTCGATGCTGTTCGATAGCTGTCCCTGTCGACCGCATCGGACCTGCAGTTTGGTTCCATTGTACAAGGCTTTTATGAGAAAGAGAAGTCGTTTGTCCTGCAAAATCTGGGGATGGAGTCAAACGCTGATTTCAGATCCATGAAGGCCACGAAGAGTTTACCCTGTAGTTTACCCGAGTTATTTACTACTGTAAAAAGTGCTGCCAGAAGCGGAGCCCACCAGTGCTGGTTTGATGTAATCAACTCAGCTGGGATAAAGTCTTTCCCCAGAGCCTTTCCACTTTTCAGATTCCCAATTAATGTATGGACTTCCTCCACAGTAACCAGCCTCCAATGAGGGAGCAGTGACAATTCTGCCCTGTCATCATCCTGGAAGCTGGAAGGGAGGTTTGGATTTTCCATAAATATATTTCTGAAGTGGTTCTCCCAAACCTGAGCTGGAATGGCACAGCTGGGGGCTGAAGAACTATTTTTCATTGAGTCGGAGACCAGTTGCCAAAAGAGTTTAGTTTCATTGTTTAGTGAGGCATTCAGTAGCAGGGACCAGGAATTTTGTTCGGACTGCCTTTTTTTTAGGCCAAAAGGGCTTTATACTCTTTTTTGATTTTGAGATAAGGTGGAGGTAAGTAATTTAGTCCAGCATTTCTATAGGCCAAATAAGCGTTCCTTAAGGCTTCCTTCTTTGTGCGGCACTCTTGGTCAAACCAACCGTGCCCTTTAGCAGTGCGGGGCTTGCCGGCTGAGTTTATGTTGACAGAGACCACATCCTTCGTAAGCCGTCAGGGAGGAATCTATTGATAAATTGTTTATTATAATTGATCTTAACCTAATTGCAGTTTGTGAATTCAATCTATTCTCAACTGCAATTGCTATCTCAGGTGTCCATTTTTTTCTGCACAATGCTGGATCATTTGCTTTATCTATATCCTCATGTTCTATGTAAGAGCTCTGAATTGAGTTTTGGCCAGTAGTGGAGATGATTAGAGTTAGGTGGTTGCTTTCAGTCCTATTATCTATGGTGAATTTTTTAATTGATTCCAAGGCCTCCCTGTTAGTGAGACAGTAGTCTACTGTGCTGGCTCCATTTGTATTTATGAATGTGTACTCGCCTTCTCTGTCCCCGGGGAGTGCCCCATTAGCAATGATGAGGTCAAGACTTATTTGTAAAAAAGCCAGGCAGAAGCCAGCATAGTTGATTTGGCAATCTTTCAAATGTCTACGAGGGGGTGGGTTTAGAAAGAGGGCGCTATTTTCCTTTAGATCTCTTAATATTGGGAATTTTATTTCCAGGCTATCATCATTTGAGCCTATTCTGGCATTCATATCTCCCATGAGGTAAAATGGCGATCCAGGGTACTTAATTTGTAGGGAATAAAGGAAACTATGGAATTTACGCCACGTGCTCTCGATCTGTGTTTGCACTGTATATGGTGGGATATAAGCTGAAACAAGAATGATACTCTTGGATTCCAGATGCAAAGTGATCCCCAGTGCCAGCTGCTCGAAAACTGAGCACTCAGTAACTTGTGACACCAATTGAGTGGAAACCAGAGTTACTAGGCCCCCCCTCGGTCGTCCCCTTCCGAGCGGTTTACAGGCCTTGATTTCATAGGCGTCGTAACCGTCGAGAACTATGTTGTCAGTTGCCCAAGTTTCCTGCAGCATTCTTATGTCAAAACCCGTTATATATTCACGAAATGGCTCGTCCCCTAGTTTGTTGGCCCAACCCGCTATGTTCCATGAGATAATGTTAAGGCTACTCGTTCCATAACTGGCTTGGCTTCATTGTGATGGGGAAATTGTTATCAGCTCTCCCACTGGTTCGGTAATGATGCAAACGTTCTTAGGATATGCACGGTGTTGTTGTTCTTGGGGTTGATTTGCAGCATTTTCCCGATTTCCCGGCATTGATGGTGTTATCTGAATTGCTGGGACCATCGGGGGGTCTTCGTCAAAGACAATTAAATCTGTCTCTGGCTTTCTGTGTGTCCCATTTCCCTTGGGAGGAGCGTCACTTGGCATTGGCTGATCAGATTCCAGCTGGGGTAGAGAGTGGTGAAATTCTGGATCTGCCAAAGGCGTAATGGAGTGTCCTATCTTTGAATTATCTAGATTGGGCTGGCGTTCTTTGTGTGTTTGGCCTTTTTGCTCGGACGTTTTCCTCTCCAAGGGAGTGTTACGGCTGGGTTCACCGCACGTATTCATCTTTGACGGCCCTTCCGAATGAATCATGGCCCTATGGCGAAAGCCCTTCGGCAGAGAGAGCGTTGATTGCTTGGGGTCGGTCCGGCTATACGACAAGTTTGGCAGTAGTTGTTTTCGTTCTGTGTCTTTAAAAACACGCCTCAACTCAATATTATAGTCCTGTAAAAGGGCCCTATATTTCAGGAGCATTTTAGGGGTAGCTGAGTCAGAAAATGTCAGCATGAGTCTAGTGTGCTGGGGGTCCATGCAAAGCAAGTTTATCACGATCAGAGTGTTGCAATGGATATTTAGTAAAAGCTTAAAGTTTCTCTTCACACTGTCGATTCATTTCCAGTAAGGCAGCATACCATTAATTTTATATAACAACCACAGACTCTCTCAAAAATATATAAACTGTTACAAAATGGGAAAATAGAAAAGGAGGAAAAAGGAGACACTATTAAAAAATGGGAACAAGATCTGGGCCACCCAATTGAATATAATGAATGGGAAAGGCTATGGACAAAAAATATAAATTTTTACAGCATGTTACCTAATAAGAGAACTATATGAAAATGCATCACAGGTGGTACCTGGCACCAGAAAGGCTTGCAAAAATGAATAAAACATAATATGAATGAATGAACTTTATTACGGTCACAGACCAGGATAAAAAAACAACAACATATAAATAAAATAGCAGTTAGGATTTTTTTTAACTGATAAATGTTGCAGCAAATAAGAACAAAGAAACAAGCATAGGATAAAACATCTGAATAAAATACAAGATTAAACACGGATAATGGATGGATAAAAACTGATAATTAAAACAGATAAGAACTAAAAACAAATAAAAACATGCAGTTAAAACAACTGTAAGAGTGTAAGAACTAAAAGACTCGCAGTTAAAACAACTATAAGAAGCTGCAGAGTAGAAGCCTCTGAAATAGAGGACACTCACAACATTAGAAACTGATGTGCAAATATGGTTAAAACAGACAATTAAAACAATGTACAGCAATAAATTTAGAAACAATGTGCAACAATAAACTATCCCAGAGAGTTGACTCAGAGTCACCCATGGAACCGAGTTTGGGGATTTTCATGCTGGACTATTTTGAGTTGGGCGATGGTCTGCGCCTACAGATTTGTACACAGAATCTGGCGACCATCCAGGTCTTCTTCTGGTCTTTGCCTAACAGCAAAAGGTCAAATTTTTGCTTTTGCGGGAGGTCGGCGAGCCTCTCCAGTAGGGGATCAATGAACTTACTATGTGCCTCTTTGTAAAAGGGACATTTAAAGAACAAGTGTTCTGGGCTTCCTATCTCTCCCAAAGTCTCTGAGCGTAGGGGACTTTTCTAAAGGCTCCATCCAGGACCGGTGAGGGAAGAGCCGCACTCACCGAGTGTAAAGGCCCTTCTTGCATTTCTAAATACGAGAAAGAAGAGATATGCTGCCGGTGCGGCTATGTATCTCTCGATTTCTCCAATTTTATAGTCGGGGCACCTTGCACAGTCCTGTTGTCTCTCGGTATCTAATATTCTTTGCCTGACTGTGGCTTTTGCCTGGCCCAAGCCCAGACTTAGAAGGGCTTGAGGGGCAAAACCCAGTTTCTGGAGGGTGTTCAGAACTGCAGTGTGCTAGCCCGACTGGAATTGGTCGCAGAGGATCAGTGGGGCTATCCCTCGGGGGGAGAAGATTCAATGTCAGCCATTTGTAAATTGTTGCTAAGCAAATGCTAGCCTCCACTCTCATCATCCCCGTTTCCAATCTCACCCATGCGTTTGATACACATCTGGGGACTTGGAGGAGCGCTCTAAGAAGTCTAGATTGAACTCTCTCAAGGGGGGAGAAAGCAGAGGAAGGCGGACCCAAAAAGGAACCATACAGGAGTTGTGCCAAAGTTTTGGCCTTGTATAATTTTAGAGCTGTGGGGACGAAGAAGCCCCCTTGTGCTCTGAAGAATTTAAGAATACAATTTGCGGTTTTATCCGCTGAACTCCCGATGGAGTTTATGTGTAGTGTGTTGGTTCCTGAGGCCTGTACCACCATTCCTAGATACTTGTAGTTTGTGAATTGTTCTAATTTATGGCCTTGGAGTTCCCAGCTTCTAAGCTTTGGTTTTCCCCCAAAAGCGAGTATCTTGGTCTTTTGATAGTTGATTTTGAGATGTTAGGATATCTGATCCTAAGGGGTCCGGTTCCAGTCACCTGCCCCTGCTGGTACCATGAAGGAGACAAACATACTCCAGGGTGGGATTCACAGAGAAAAAGGCTTTATTGCAAATCTGCGCAGAGGTAGCCAGTGGAATAGTTTCCAAAGACTGGCCCCCATCTATTGTCTTCCAAGCAGTCTTATACAGTAATTTCAAGCTTGCCCCCAGTTGCTCCCCAATCAACAAGCAGAGACACATTTCATTACCTTATTGGGCTAGCTAAGCCCTCCCCCCCCATTGCATTTTGTTTGCTTCTGCGTTAAAAATGTTTGCCTTTGCAGAGCTGAGGTGAGAAGTTAGCTTACCACAAGGCTCACCACAACTGAAGCAGATATGAACCACTACCGGCCTATCAAGCTGAGTTTCTTTGCTTCAGCTAAGTATGACTGCAGACAGGAAAACCACTATCTAACCGCAGAGCTAACTTGCAAGCTAGAACAATTGTTTAGCTGGAGCTAGCTAAAAGCACAATGGAGCTTTTACCTTCCCCCCATCTCTTCACTCCTCTTCCTTCACTCCCTCCTCTTCTTCTTGATCACCGCCAGGTGCATCAACAGGGATAGGGCGATACTCCCTCAGGTAAGCTATCACACGGGGGCCCATCATGCGAGACATCATTTTCTCCATCATATTCTGCATGCATTGCATCAAGCAGGGAATACAGAAGCAGAGAAGCAGTAAAAGCACCAGGGGGGCCCGCAATCATAGTGAATATCCTCCCCATCCATCCCCCCGGGAATATACCATCCAACCAAGATGTGTCCAGGCCCTCCCAGGTTTGTACAGGGACATGTGCTACCTTTTCAATGTTGGCAGCCAAGTCACGAATGGCCTCACCATGGTCTGAGATATTGAAGCAACACGCCCCGCCCGTAAGGTTGAGGGCTGCACAGAAGCCACCCTGCTTGGCCAGAATAAAGTCCATCCCCAGGCGCAGCTGGAGGACGGCAGTGCGGGTTTCATCCAGCTGGGTGGCAACAAGACGTAGGGCGGTGGCTGTAGCATTGGCCACAATTTCAACCACTGCCTGGAGCCTGATGATGCGGTTGAGATTATATATAGGCTCACGGGCCCCTGCTTGCATTTTGACCATGGGCTCACGGGAACCTAAATTAGTTGGGCCCGGTCTGTCCTAATATTCATCCTGGTGTTGCTGCAGGCTCATGGCTTCAGCCTGTCCTCGGTTCCCAGGCGGGTACCAAAGGCCTCCTCTTCCCCTTCCTCGTCCCCTGGAGGGTCCCCAGGCGCAGCCCAGGGTCTTAAGTCAGTGCCATCTCCCATGGGGATGGTGCCAGGAATCCGGCCTCCCTGCCTCCAGTCCTTCCCTGAGGGCATTCGTTCTTCCAGTGGCCCTCTTGGCGGCAGATGGCGCACTGGTTGCGTCCCAGGCGGCCGCGCCCTCCTCCCCGGGCAGGTTCCCCCGTGCCGCTGTTGCTGGCGCGCAGAGCCATGAGTTTCTTAGCCTGGTAATTTTCTTTCTTCTTCTGGGCTACCTCATCTCTCTGGTTATACGTGGTTTGTGCCACCTCTAACATCCACTCCAGCCCATGTCCGAGAAACCCTTCGGTTTTTTGAATTTTTCTGCGAATATCGGGAGTGGCTTGGGCCACAAAGGCTGCCTTAACAACCGGAGCATTGGCAGGATCATCTGGGTCCAGAGGGGTAAACTGCCGGTAGGCTTCCTTCAGACGCTCCAAATAAACCCCTGGCGACTCATCTGATTTCTGGACCACCTCAGCCACCTTAGCCAAGTTAGTAGGCTTCCTAGCTGCCCTCCTCATTCCTGCCAGTACATGGTTCCTGTATGTTGCCAGGGCAGTCCGAGCATTCTGATCCTGATAGTCCCAATTAGGAGTGGCTCGGGGGTAGGCATCATTTATTTGGTTATCATTTAATTGTAACTGCCTCAGATGCGCCCTTGCCTCACTATGGACCCTCCGGACTTCTTCCGTTGTTAACAGAGAGTCCAAAAGATATTGAACATCATCATAGGTAGGATCCTAAGTCTTAAAGATCCCTTCAAAAAGTTTGATGATTTTGGCTGGGTTCTCCTCAAAGGAAGGGTTCTGATTGCGCCAATTGCAAATATCAGCAGTTGAAAAAGGCACATGTTGGATTGTGTAGGTGCGCGGTGCTGCTGCCCCATTCTCCCTGGCGGTCCTGGGGGTCATAAACTACCCGGAGGGGCATCAAGGCTGTAGCCTGATCTTTCTTCTCTCTCTCTCTCTCATGGTGGGTGGCGGCTCTACGTGCTGCCTCCAGCCACCTCTTTTGTTTCTTTTTCCAGTGCCCATCCTCACAACGTGCCACTTCTAAGAGGTGGGGACTAACATCCACTTGGTCTTTATAGGGGTCTACATAGTCCTTTATCCATTTGTCTTGCTTCTTACTCCACTTCTCCCCTTCTGTACCTTCTTTTCCAACATCTTTAACAGTGTCTCCTCATCCCCCTCATCATCATCACTTTCATCCTCCTTAGCTGTCTCTGATTTGGTGGGGTCTTTATCCTCAGGGCTTGGGTTGATAGGGCTGCCACCAACTGGGTTGGGGGGATTATTCTGGAGGTTATTCTGCAGGGGTGGACCATTCTGTGGTACTGCCGGTGTTGGGGGTCTATAAGGAGGTGGTCTCACAGCTAATTCCTCCTCTGTGTCCTGAACCACAAGAGGTAATTTCTGCTGCCGGACAGCACAGATCCTTGCCCTTGCTGGAGCAGTTCGGCAAGCCTGCAGCCAAGGGGGGTTTTTATCCACATTGGTTTTCCACGTGGAGATATAGGGAATTTGATCTGGATGGTCTGCAATTATTCTCTGCCACAAGGGATTGATCAACCGCCCCTCAAAACTGCCTTGGGACGGCCAGGCAGTGCCCTGCGTCGGCCAGTCCACTTCACAAAGGGTCCTAAGCCTCTCCTTCTTCAATTTGAACCCCCAGTCGTCATTTTTCGTGGCCAATTTCCAGTTGTTCAGGAAGCATTCCAAAGGGGTACATTTAC